AGTCAGTGATGTACAGGTTGTATTGGCAAGGTGCTGTTTCAGAGCACGGCAGCAGTCAAATCACTGGCAACATTGTTATTACAGATGAAACTCCATCCCGTCAACAAAAACAACCCCCCTCCCGAATGTTCCCCAAAGAACCTTTCAGTGAACAGTTCTTAAATGAACCATTCTTTTTATAGCATGAAGAACATTTGAAAAATCTGAAGAACCTTTTTCCACCATAAAAAACCTTTTGTGGAATGGAAAGGTTCACTGGATGTTAAAGGTTTTTCATGGAACCAGTGATTCCAATAAAGAACCTTTATTTTTAGTGTAGCAAAGGCACAGTAGCATAGACATGTTATGTATCCTTTTGAGAGTCAGCAAAATGACTTTTTTGTTTGTTTAGGATTGTGTAATGTCTTTAATTTTCCAATGACATGAAATGAAAACACACACACACACACACACACCCATATATATATATATATTGCAATATTGCACGTCTTCTGTTGTGAACATCAGGAATCAGGACCCAATTAAAAATTAAGGCAAGAAGCAAGTTTATATTGACATGTTTTGCAACTTGCAATGAAATTGTCAATTGTCAATGAAAGTTAAACCAATGAAACTTTGGCAAATTTAGCCATATTTCATATACATTTTTTGGGGGGTTGTTTTGTTTTACCAAATTCACCTGTAATGTCTCCCCACCAAGTGAGAAGCAAATTTCTATTTTTGACAACTTCAATTTGAAGTTTTCAAGAGGACATGTATAGACTTGACTATAAATACATGTCATCTACAAATGAACTGCTGGATCCCAGGAGGATACTGAACTGATAATGAACTGCAAAAACACTGGAGAAAGAGCACAAAGTCAGTGCACTGGAATAAGTCCTACATGATCAATAGCTGTTTCAATCCACCTATTTTTATGCACATTTTGGAATATCGCCTAAAAAAAAAAACTCTGGATGGAAACGCCAAGATGCGCATAAATTCTAAAAATGCACCAAAAAATGTATGCGCACAATTGTGTTGGATAAACTTTTTATTCTATAAGAAAAATGTGCATAAACTACGATGGAAACACATTTACTGAATAAAATCCTCCACGCGCATCAAAAAAAGTCATGTGACGGTATACCTGGACTAACCAGCGGACCGATCTCATTGCACAGCATCTGAAATGTTATGGTTTTTCTTTAATGCCCGAGCAAAGCCTGTCGTCAAAGTATTTCTGTATAATTGCCTCCCAGAACTGTCTTACACGACTGTGTTCTGCCTCCAAAAGCAATGACCGCATTTATTGTGTTTTGTCTGCTCGCTCTGAGATGCGAGTCATATATAGAGATTATATATGAAAATTATTATATTCAGAGGCTTCTCCTACTTTTCTCAGTGATATTTAGAGCCAGTGTATCAGGAAGTGAAGATTTTGTCCTCTTTGGCTCGTAGGATGGAAACGGTGCTTAATTCGCAAATGTTTTATGCGATAATCCAATTTTGTGCACAAGTTAAATGAACAACTTTGGACAGAAACACAGCTAATGACTGAGCTTTAGTAGGATCTCCAGTTTAACCTCCTCATAAAGCTGAGAACTACATCAGCTCTGAGCAACTGTATATGATGCATTGTGACTCGTCACATGTTTATCTGACCTCTCTCTATGTTTCCACAGGGCCATTCATATGCACTCGGTAACTGGTTTAAAACTGTACAGAGTCATTCTGCTGGTATATAGTCGTGCTATTTCGGATCACAGCTGAGGTCTACACTTGAATTATATTTAATCTGTTTATTACAAGCTGACTTGTCTTTAAAGGGGTCATATGATGCGATTTCATTTTTTCCTTTCTCTTTGGAGTGTTACAAGCTCTTGGTGCATAAAGAAGATCTGTAAAGTTGCAAAGACTAAAGTCTCAAATCCAAAGAGATATTCTTTATAAAAGTTAAGAGTCTGCCACGCCTTCCTAAAACGGTTCATTCTAAACACGCCCCCACATACCTACGTCACTATCTGGGAAGATTTGCATAACGCCACCCAAATGTTCACGCCAAGAAAGAAGGCCTAACTTTTATTCTCGCTGTAGTATTGTTGCCGCCGCCGCCGCCATGTCGTGAAGGCGCTGTGTGTTTCGTTGTGAAAGCGAAACTACTTTGTTTGGCCTTCCAAAAGAGGACGATATCCGCGCCGTCATGCCTAGAGCTGATCCGTGCTGGTCGCTGAGGAAATACATCAACTTTCACCGTGGACAAAGCGGAGTCCAGCCCGGGGTCATCACATGTGCTTGCCACAAGTCCGCCGGACGCTCCTTCATCGAATCCGCCGGCCGTGCCATTCTCAAGCCCGCCGGCCTCCGCTCACTCTAGCTCCCGGCCTCCGCTCACTCTAGGTCACCGTGTGTGACGCTGTTTCGTTGTGAAAGTGAAACTACTTTGTTTGGTCTTCCAAAAGAGGACGATATCCGCTTCGTCATGCCCAGAGCTGATCCGTGCTGGTCGCTGAGGGAATACATCAACTTCGCTGTGGATCGCCGGATCGGTTTATATATTTAAAGTGAGTTTTTTGGGCAGTGTAGAGTAGGGCTTGTTGTTTGTCATTTCTCCGATCACAAATGCAGACATGGTTTTATGTTTACGCGGCGCGATGCAACGCAATGCGTAAAAAGTCATTAAGTCATTATAACCCATAATTATGTCCCCACTGAATGCAACGAATGCCTCGTTTATAATGGGTTTTCATGTTTTTGAATCATCGCTCCGGCCTGACAGGGCATCATCACAATATGGTAGGGGCGTAACATTTCCGTCTCACTTTTGAGGTATTCGGCCAATCACAAAGCACTGGATAGCTGGCCAATCACAGCACACCTCGCTTTTTCAGACCGATGAGCTTTGTAAAAATTGACACGTTTCAGAAAAGCGGGGCATAGAGGAGAAACAATAATGTACAATATGTGGAAAATAATGTTTTTTTAACCTTAAACCACGTAAACACATTTCATTACACCAAATACACAAAATAATGTTCTTTTTAGCAACATAATATGACCCCTTTAAAATTGAAGTAATACACCACTTGTGGCCAATTCAATTCCAATTTCGTAGATGAAGTATATAATCATTTTTAAATGCATATTACACTTTCTTGAATCAAAAACCACTGGGGGAATTCCATCGTACAGTGCATGCCTCCTTCAGCTTATGACCAGGCTCTGTGATAGATGCTGCTCTTATAATAAATGATGATGGTTGAACGAGAAAAACTAATAATAACTAATAATAACCATCTAAATTGGTGCAAGATGGCTGTGCACACCCATATAAGGTTGATATTAAAGACACAATATGTCATTTTCACTGCTAGAGGGCACGTATTTAAAATAAACAAAGAAACAAAGGCATAGTTTGATGACACTGTGACGGAGTGTGGAATCATGGGAGTTGTCATCTTCATCCTCACAGCCGATGCAAGCCGAAGTGACTTGGGCAGAAATCATGTTCATGGATGAGCTAATGATTTATTAACGTAGTAGAATGAAGCAGGGTGAGGCTGAAAGCCGTCGAAGCGAAACGAGGCCGCTGAACGAGCGTGACACACGGCTCGAAAGCAGCGTAGCTTTTATTATGCCACAGTTGACTGCTTCTGCTCCTTCCGGTCGTGCGTATGTGGGGGAAAAAAGCAGCGCTGATTTATCATACTAGATACATTTGAAAGTTCTGTAAGTGAGCATTATTGAAAGTATAATGCTACTCTGTGCGGTCGTCACCGGTCTAATAAAACGCACAACATATGTGAAAGTGAAAGTAACGTGACATGTGGCCAAGTATGGTGACCCATACTAGGAATTAGTGCTCTGCATTTAACCCATCCTAAATGCACACACACAGCAGTGAACACACACACACCGTGAACACACACCCGGAGCAGTGGGCAGCCATTTATGCTGCGGCGCCCGGGGAGCAGTTAGGGTGCCTTGCTCAAGGGCACCTCAGTCGTGGTATTGAAGGTGGGAGAGAGCGCTGTACATTCACTCCCCCCACCTACAATCCCTGCCGGTACGATCCTCAAACCCGCAACCTTTGGGTTACAATTCCGACTCTCTAACCATTAGGCCACGACTTCCCCGCTTAAAGCGTCTTTGGTTTTCTACAAAACAAAACCGGAAATCAAGGGGCTATGACGTCATTGGCAGGCGACACAATGACACTACAGACACGCTCCGCGTCACTAGTTACAATTGCTTATTTCTCTGGATTTAAACATTCTTCGAAACATTTGGGATAATGTAAGTACACAAGTCAGCAAAATATATAACACTGTTCTATTGGTTTTTGGATATTTTAATAAAAAAATCTTATATATTGTGCCTTTAAAATCTTCACAGCTTTAGTGTTACTGGAGAATCAGGCTTCATCAGATCCAAATGAATCTTACACATTAGAGGTCCAAAAGCTAAAGTGACTCAGAAACAGCTTCATACATGTGGATCGAGCTTTAATATAATAACAACTAAACAAACATCTTGTTCATCAGCGGTTGTAAGACCCTTGGTACACATAGGCTGCATCTGTAATCGCATACTTCCCATATAGTATTCTTTGCATATAGTAGGCAAAAAACAGTACGAGTAGTATGTCCGAATTCACAGCATTCATAAAAAAGCGGATGATGCCACGAGAGATGATTTGTGAATGACAGTGAAGCGACGCAACTGATGCTGCTACTATTAGTCACATGACAATGACAACGTGACGTATGTAGTACATCCGGATTACATTCATGTGACACAAATTCATACTACATAGAACAGACTTTTTTTAGCAGTCGTGAAGTAATTATTTTATTTAAACGTAAGAGTGTTTGATTTCGGATGCAGCCTTTTTGTTACACAGCATGTTGTAAAAATACTACTTTTTCATTCTGCTTCATTATGAGCCCTTTAAAGTTTTAGTTTTAGAGCTAGTTAGTTGCGTAGTGTTTCCTGCACTGCTATTCAGGATGTTGTTGCGCTAAAGCTTCATCTGAAAGGACGTGGAATTTTTGAGTTCAGTAAAGGCCTGTTTAAGACTAATGTTCTGTTCTGACATTCAGCCTGTCTGCAGTTTTTTATGCATTGGTCTGAACAGATAAATCATCAGACAGCTTATTCAATCGAATCCGATTACTCGCTCGCTCAATGAACTCAAAATGAGCCCAGAACTGATAACTGGGTTTTGAAGACATAAATTTGCAACAGAATTTTAGAGTTTTGTTGTAATAAAATGTATTTTACTTGAAAATAATTATTATATTGAAAAAAATTATTGATGTGTTGAAAAAATATGTTATTGTTTAACATGTTCTAGGGTTGATTGATCTGAAAAAAAAAAGTCCTGTAGGAAACACTGGTTGCATATTTACAGTACATGCTGCATAGTGTTGTTTAAAACATCACAAACAATTGTTTTAATTTGAATGAGTGCAGTACCTGAAGAATAGTTCATAGAGTTTTCAATTGACCGTCACTTGGCCAATGTCATTAAGACTCTCATGATTTGACTCCCAGATGTGAATGGAAAAGTTCTGGATCTTTCACACAAGGACGAGAAAAAAAACAACAACTAACAATATATAACTAACTCTTCTCAAACCCTTCACACAGGTTTGATTGTTTATCCAGAGGTATTTTGAAAGGTCAATGCAGACTATTCATCTGCAAAGGTCAGGCTAACCTTAAATTGCAGGTTTTCCATGAATATTTCCACTGTTTTCTCCTGTTAAAATCCAGGATTAAAGTGACTCACGCAGCAGAAGTATAGCAGAGAGATAGAAATGCTCTCGGACACCTACGTGCAGCCTGATGAGGCGTTTCCTTCAACCATACATGGCCATCAAATGTAATAGTTTACCACGTCCTAATGACACGTTAAGAGCAAATGATAATAAAAGGAAAAAAACGAATCAAGAAATGAACAAAAAGAGAGAGAAACCATTAAACTGCTGCATTGCGTCCTTATGACTCCTCATGAGTGACCCGGCCACTATGGACTGAATCACGCTACATTGACTTCAGTAAAAGTACCATTACGCATCAAAACGCATCTCATGGTGTTTTGATCACGATCTGACCTAACACTGGACACACTTTGGTCTTTTTCACAAAGACGAACAATTAAACAAGGACAGTTCTTGTTATTGGGTGTAAAACAAAAGCATAACGTCGTTGTCCATGTCTCTGAGCCCTCTCTTGCCCCTCCAGGTCCTCACCTGATTCATCTCCTCTCCTCAAGAACGACTGCGGACCTCTTGCGTTCCAACCAAAATCTTGCTGTACAGTTTTTGTTGCTCCTCTTTGAAAGTGTCTTTCACTTTCCCTCGTTTCAACCCACCATCCCTTAAAAAAAAAAAAAAATTTCAACTAAACTGGCTTCTGAGAAAAGCAGCTTTAATATGCCTAAGCTGGTTTGTTGGCCTCCCAGTCTGGTCAAAACCATGCTGGCTGGTTTTAGAAGGGTTCTGGGCATTTGTCAGCTGGCCAGGCTGGGAGATCAGCTTAAACCAGATATGTTATGTTTGTACAGACAGTCAGTTATATTACAGCTTATATTAGTGTTTTTATTACTTTTCTTTGGCCTCAACAAAAAAATGATCATGATTACAGTAAAAGACTGTAAAATTGCTGCGGTTAAAAACCTGTTAATTGGTCAAAGGTAAATTCCATTACTCTATAGTGAAAAAACTGTAATAATGTAACTAATAGGACATAGATTTCAAACAATTTTACAGTAAAAGTTAAATTTACCGTTTTTAGAAGTGAGAAAGAACAAGTCGTCTATCAAAAACCATAAATTGACATTACCACAACTCCCTGTGTGACGGCTCACACTTGATGGTTTTTCATTGAAATAACTTAAATAACTGTACATAGGCAGGGTAGGTGATCTGGTTAAAAAAAAATTGTTATGCTGGTTGAAAGTCTCTTCACATCCCGATAGCAATCACTTACACCACTTAATCAGTTAAGTGGTCTAAATGTATTTATATCTGTATGCTGTATTTCCACAGTGTATGCTGTGGAAAGCATAGGACCATAAAATGTTCGTCCAAACATATTCCTCGATCCGAGGGCTACGATAGGCTGTTCTGCCTGCCTGTCAACGTATGTATTTGCATACCTCTGTTCACCCTGTCTGCACAGACATGACACGTCATCAGTGCGTTCATTAGCTTGCTATAGCTAGCCTTTCTGAAATCCTACCCTACCTTTAAGGTTCATCTTATGTCATTAAATTAATGTTTATTCAACATCTGCCATTTATTTACAGTCAGTTTGACAGTAGAGTCAGATACGACAGCTGACTTACCACAGCAGGTCCACTAGACCACCCTGTCTGGCAATGGCTGCCTTTACTCTGTTAGCAAACTGCACTGCATCCTCACCTTCCTGCAAGGTGACAAAACAGACATTGACAAAAAAAACTAGACCTTTGGTTTTAAAAATTATTAAGTGCTTAAAATGTATTTTCACACTTGTTACAATTTGTTTTCCAGCATTTTCAGTTAACAGCATGTATAATTGAAGAAACAGTTATTCTTTTTCTGAAATAGTAAATCAAACTATAAATACACAAAGGAAGGACTTCCAAAAATAATTCCAGTGATTTTCCAGAGAACTTTTGTAACTTTCAAGGTGTGGCGGATCACATCAGCACAATGAGTTACCTATGGTGACCATTTCGTGGATTTTTGGGGACAGGAGCCTTTACATGCATTAAAAACAATGGTCTATTTGTTTATTTGCATGCCCACATGCAAACACAGATGTCCATTTCCAATCTGTGGTGGGTGGACAAAACTGGGAAGGGCAGTGCAAGTCAGTCATACCACAGATTTTACTGCATGCATGTAGGCCTTACCTGACGGCTCATCGGAGGCAGGTACCACACGCTGCAGACGATGGCCCAGCTACTCATCATCCTGAGCAGATAATTCACCATCCCAAACTTACTGCTGTTCCAGAAGGCTTCCCCAAACCGAGGGTCATACTAGAAAATCACAAAACATGCAAATGAAATACAATGCAACCACCACCACAATGCTGACGCAAGACAAAAGTCATTTTCTTAATCCTTTTTTTTCCCCCAGTAAACACACCTAAACATTCTTAAAACAAAAAAAACAAGTGCATACAGTAAAACCTGTATTCAGATATTATTTCTTATTTGTTTAAAAGTTAGATGGTATTTAAAACTTTTAAACCTTGAAATAAAACTTAAAATACAAAACAAAAAAAAGCACATTTAAAAACAAAACACATTTAAGCTAATGCAATGCAAAAATAATTCTTAATATCTTACACAATTTTGCTTCTCAAGTAATCTTGTTTTAAGGATGTTAAGATGTTATTGCTGACAAATACTGATTAAGTCATCAACATCCTAATCATTTGCCCTTCATCATTTTTCTTAGCATAAAAGCTGATCAAGTAAGAGAGCATGCAAACAAGGAGGAACGTTTGAAAGCAGCTTCACAGCTCAGAACGAGAGTGAAATCATACAGCCTACCCGCTACAGCATTAAAAACACATTACTGATAACTGAAAAAAAATATTTTAAGTTTGGAATAATCAGTATGTCCAGCATGTTTTAAGTGTAAAAGACACATGAATGGGCATCTGTTAGAGGACATTTGCACATGTAAACGATCGGTAAAAGAAAAAAAAAGTTATTTCAGCACTCAAAAGAGAACATTGTGGTAATACTAGATTTCTGCTTGATGCCAGGGTGTTGTGGGTGGTTTTAAACATGTTGCTATGCTGTTCTGGGATGGCTAGGTGCTTGCTTACTGGACCAAGTCAAAAGAGTCCACCCCCAAGTCCCTAGAGATGGCTTAGGTCTCTCCATCTATGGGATTTTTAGTTTTCGCCTGTTATATCTGTTATATCATCCACCAGCCATATCTCAGATCAACTCAAGAGAAAAGAAATAGCACACATCAACTCAACAGGTCTCACAATTTACAGTAGGGTCCAAAAGTGTGAGACCTCATTAAAAATCTTTACAAAGTAGAGTTTTTCCTCTGTAAAACAAAGAAATTTGACATAAAATTCCAAAATATTTCTTCTTTATTTTAAGATTTTGTGTAGTAGTAAGACTATGCCATATTTTTAGATCAGATCCAATAAGCATTAAACATGATCATCAGGACTGACCAAGCGGCAACCTTCCGGTCTCTCTCTGAAACCAACACGGAAGTGACTAAAACTGCAATTCATCGACTAATATTAAAGCTGCTTTTCTCAGTAGGTAAATTACCTTTTTTCTGGTAAATGACAGTTTAGTTGAAACTTTTTTTTTTTTTAAGGGATGGTGGGTTGAAACGAGGGAAAGTGAAAGACACTTTCAAAGAGGAGCAACAAAAACTGTACAGTGCAATTCATCGACTCTGGCTCCAAAAGGGAGTCAGTCCCATAGACTCCCCATGTTAAAATGCCCAACTTTACAGCAGAAAAATATGTTTACAGCCTGTTACAAAAAGTGGTTTTGGTCTATATAGCTAATTTTGCCCTTCATGACAACTGTGAGGGGGGTGAATTTTTTTATAACTCATCCGTTTAAATTATATTAAGCCTTAAAGTTCTGCATAATTAAGGGCGTGGCCACTTGAGTGACAGGTGGATTGCCCGCTGCTGTCACCAGGGTCAAGCTAGGTGGGCGTGGTTTCAGCAACCAGCTCCCGCCTCTTTGCCCATTTTCGATTATCCGGGAGTGACGCACTGCCAAGATGGCGACGGCCGGCTCCGCCCACTTTAGGCTTCAAAAATGCTCTTCGGAGACCTACGGGTGACGTCACGGACACTACATCTATGTTTTTATACAGTCTATGGGACTGACACAAACTTGTAGAGTTCATTCAGCTTGAGAGCCACTGTTGTTAAAGCAAAAGAGGACAAACCAAACACTAGGACAATAATTCGTGCTCATTTTGTAATTCAAATGATTATGCGGATTATGTAATTCGTTCAATAGCAGTATTTGCATTAGTGGTCTCAGACTACCATGCGTATCATTCAGGTATCATTTATGATTGTAGCACAAACTTTGTTTAATCAGTGTTTAATACTTGATGTTCAAGGTTTGCTCACATCCCTAACCCAAAGTATTCACTAGGGAAGTGAGATTTTCTGACCTTTATGGCGACAGGGTAGACGGTTGAGCCAATTTCAAAGCTTCCTTTCTTGAACATCATGACTGATGTGTTATTAATGCAGGTACCTGGAGACAAATTATATGATAAACACAAGAAATAAACATAATAGCATATTAACAACCAAATCAAATCACTTGTTCCATGTTAGTTACTATTTATATACGTATATGAATTAGTGGAGAAACTGTAAAAGGTCAATTGTAATTTATTCAATCACAACACGTTTTTCCATCACATTCTTTCTCTGCCTGAAAAAACAAGTGAGATCAGTTCACTCTGTGAGAAATTTTGAACAAACACTGCTTTTGAATTATAGATGTCCAGTATTTGTTTCCTGCTGTCTAAAATTATAAAGCCTTTCAATTGAAAAATATCTACACTACTGTTCAAAAAAATGTGGTCGGTAAGTAAAATAAATAAATAAATAAATAAATGATCACTGCTTCCAACAAAAATATTATGCAGCACAACTGTTCTCAACATTGATAATAATAAAGGATCATGAGACACTGGAGTAATGGCTGCTAAAAATTCAGCTTTGCATCACAAGAATAAATTACATTTTAAAATACTTTTCAAACAGAAAACTGTATTTTTATTGATTATATTTTACAGTATTACTGTTTTACTGTCTGAACAAATAAAGACGATGAACATAAAAGACTTCTTTCAAAAACATTACAAATCTTATCAACCCCAAACTATTTCATGGTAGTGGATGTAGGAAACAAACATAGTAGTCTACTCTAGTCTCCTTTTCATATTAACACAAATTTCTGAGAATGAGTTCAGCTCACCTTCGGGGAATATGAGGATGGGCAGTTTGCTTTTGTCTTTTACGTGATCGCTCAACCTGAAATAAAACTCATTTAATTAATAACAATAATAACAATGTATGAGTGTAATAAAAAATGCAATTCAGTGAAATATTTGACCTTTTAGCCACTAGATGGCGATCTTTGACTTCTGAGCGCTCGAACCAAATGTGTGGACAAGCTTTCACCATAGACCTCTGAATGAGCCCCATCAGGCCCCCATGGATCTGACCCACCTATAACACACACACACACACACACACAATTAACCCTCTCAGAGCAGCTTTCTCACACATACCCACTACAGTTCCAGTCAAGAAACACACTTACCATTGCATAGCATCCGTCACTGGCTAGTATAATGACGTCAATGGGTGACGTGTGGTTGGCGACACAGATGCCTCCATTCTTGGGTTTGTTTTCACTGTCCCAGAGAAAGACAAAGAGAGGAGTTTGTGAGCAGAGGGTGTAAATAGTTGCAGGAGAAGCAGAGCAATGTGAGTTTGTGGTAAACAGGTCAAATGTCATCTAATGAAAGAGTTTGTGCGGACATCCAACAGTTTAGTAGTGTCTTCTCCATGCTGTTTTGTTGTCACCAAACCCTGAATGTCCCTGTGAAAGGAGCCAGTTTGACTGGTCAAGGGAGAGGTCCTGAGAGAAAGAGAAAGACTTTTCTCTATTCGTATCGTATTTTAAGAAGAAGAGAAAAGGAGATAGAGAGAGAATGCACAGGAGGACAGTGACCTGAAATACCACACATGATCACATTAGGGCGATGCAGGAATGACAAGCTGAGATAATGACAAAGAGGAGTTCAAATTCAGTTGAAATCGGACCTGACATTGAAACACCAAACCCTTGTTAACTCGATGTTATACCGTTCGGGTGTTATGATGTCTGACCTCACTCTGTTTGTGTGTCAGATAACATCAGAACTAAATGTCCCTTCACCATTGATTCGGAACATGCTATAGAAGTTAACATTCTCAAGCACCAGCTCTAATTCACTGTAAGGAATTGACCCTTTGCCGGAAGTTTGATTGACCGGCGAATCTGCCATTTTGTCCGACAAACAAACCAGACAGGAGAGTAGATTAATGTCGGTGGACTTGAACTTGAAAAATGAAGTGAAGTGAAGTGACGTGACGTGACATGTGGCCAAGTATGGTGACCCATACTCAGAATTAGTGCTCTGCATTTACCCATCCAAAGTGCACACACAGCAGTGAACACACACAAACCGTGAACACACACCCGGAGCAGTGGGCAGCCATTTATGCTGCGGCGCCCGGGGAGCAGTTGGGGGTTCGGTGCCTTGCTCAAGGGCACCTCAGTTGTGGTATTGAAGGTGGGAGAGAGCCTTCAATACCACGACTGAGGTGCGGAAATGGTGTGTATTGATGTCTCTCCGCGGTTGAAACGAGACCTTCTGATGTTCATTCATGTTTATTTCGTGCTAATAAAGAGGAAGACATGATCGGTTCATGTGCCGCTTGAATGAGGCTCTACAGCGACCTGTCACGACACATTAAAGAGCCACAAAACTATATTTATTGTTTGAATTTTTTACAAAATGACAATTTAAAAGCTTAGACTTTGTCTCATACCTAAAGTAACCTGCTCTGTCTTGTCTGTCGGCTCGTTGTCAGTGTCCTCTATGTATTTTTCACTGAGTGAGAACATGATGTGTGGCGTGAGATTGCCATGGGTTGTCGGACATGGCAACAGTAATTAAGGGGGCGGGTCTTTGCAAAAGGTTACTTGCATGGAAAAGAGCAACTAGCACATTCTTCAAAATTTGTCCTTTTGTGTGTCAAGGAAGACAGTCAGGTTTGAAGAACTACTTCAAAGAGAACTGTGAGAATGTGATTGTGAGCATGTGATTCTGAATGCATGATTTAAGTGTGCGATTGTGAGACTCATATGAGTGTATGATTGTGTTATTGTGAGCGTGTGAGATTGTAAGCATGTGTGTGACTGAGTGATTGTTAGTGTGCATGTATGTGATTCAGAATGTGTAATAGTTTGTGTGATTGTGTGACTGCCTGATTGAGAAAGTGTGTGTGATTGCACGTGTATGTGAATGATTGTTGGTGTAGGTAATGTAGGTGTGCATGTGTGTTCGTATGATTGTGAGAATCTCATTGTGAGAGTGACGGTGTGTGATCTATGCGTGTGAATGTGAACGTCTGATTGTGAGAGTATGCTTGTGATCGCGCATGTATGTGAATGTTTGATTGTGAGCATCTCATTGTGATTGTGTGTGTACGTGAGTGTTTATGCATGTTATTGTGAGCATGTATGTGTATGTGTATGTGTATGTGTATGTGTATGATTGTCTGATTGTGAGCATGTGAGTGTTTATGTAATTATGCATGTATCTGATTGTTTGTTTGATTGTGATTACTCCAATTGTGAGTGTTTATGTGAGTGATTGTGCATGTATGTGATTGCTAATGTGAGTGTGGGCATCTCATTGTGAGAGCTTATATGTGTGATTGGGAACATGTCGTCCAGAGAAAGCACATTAAATGTAAGTAAAGTGCATACTTTTAAGGTTTCAAATAAGTTTTTGGAGAATAAAATGTCAACATTTGGTTGAAATAATGTTACATTGCCATTCAGAGTAACACAATATTTATGTAAAAATTCAAACAACATGCTCAGAAAACCAATCATGGCAGTGAAGACAACCAATAGGCTCACTCCTGTGATTGCTAATGTTAACCTGATAAAATAAAAACAAGACATTTCAGCTCAAACTCTAGAACACTCTTTACAAAATTTACCCTTTAAACTCTTTTTAATTTAAAAGTGCACAGCAAGTTTTGTTTGCATTTTTCTGGATCTCTGAAGCATACCTATGAGGATGCAACCTAGTCTATGTAGAATATACAGAGTATTCATCTCATATGAATGAATATCATTTTAATATAAAAATAATTCTAAAAATAAGCAATAAATTACAGAGTTCACTTTTAATATAACAATTTTTTTTTTTACTTTTAAGCCTTACACCGTGTCTACACCGGATGCGACAGTTGTTGTGTCGCACCACGTCGCAACAGCTAAAGTCTGTCTACGACGCGACAAAGCAACCGCTGAAAAATCATTTGAAATTTGTGTCAATATGTCATAAATAGAATGCAGCAGCAGTTTTCTGTCGTTGATTTGTCGTGTCGCGCTGTGCCGCATCAAGTGTAGACAGCCTCACTGATTATAATGAGTTCTATCGTATTTTGTCACACCGCTCGCGTCCAGTGTAGACACGGTGTTTGACTTTCATTGGAGATAAAAAGAGAGAACAGGGCATTAATGGATTAGAGAGACTGTAATATGTCACAGGTCAAATATAAACCTACATTAGCTATGATCACAACAGTTCCAAGAGCACACGAACTCCCCACCGCACCACAGCTCTGACCCAATGCATGCTGCTGAAAAGTTCAAGCAATAATACTGAGCATTTGGGTTTCCATCCATAATTCAATTAATCCCACAATACCCAGTTGAGAACATCTGATTAAACAGAGCTCAGATATCAGGCGCTCTTCCTCATCTCAAATGTGCACACGGGTGGGTGAGGAGTTTCTATTAAAGAATGTGGGTTAAGGCCACTGCCCTGACTGACATTAATCCTACACAAGCTCCATATGGCCCTGAGGGGTGGCAGAATTAGCCTGTATTGTAAGACGCTAAATTCAGACTCGCGTGCCAGAACAGAGTAAGTGTCTCAGGGTGGACCAGTTAGAATGATGTCAAATTATAATGTCAGCCATTCAAAAATAAGAGTTATTTATTTAACACCCTAAATTGCAACTGAATATTACAAGTGCTCCTTTTTTCTGTTTGGTCATATGACATATAGGGGCCCCTGTAAGTATTATAAGGGGTGAGTATTTAATGTACCAACATACCCAACAATAAACATGGACTGTGTCTTTGCTGTATTGTTTTATCCAGTTATTATCTAGTTTGAAAACTCTGTGCAATGTCTCCTACAAAAAAAAAACATCCCTTGGCAGTACCAGAATGTAAATCCATAATAATTCGCTACATACCATGGTATTACTTTGTACGCCAAGGTACTTCAAAGATTACCAATGCATTTCCATGGTACATGTCAAAAAACATAATATTACCATGGTATGTGTCAAAATGCATTTTAGTACTTGTTAGCAGTGGCCTCATTTTAGCATACTTCTCTTCTAATCTTCACATCTGTTCATTCAATAAATAAGGGTTATTTTCTTATTTTACTACACACAATATATTGTTACCATTACCAGCCAAAATGAGATTTTTAAATTTTCTGGTATCAGCTGATATTGGATAGAGTATATCTGCCAATGCTTTGTATTTAATTGTGATGCTCATTTCTCCTATTTTTTACATTATATTAGCTTTACTGTCATCTAACGTTCACTGAAGTAATTAGTGAAATTATTTTAACATTGTTAAATGTAATCTTAGCAAGTTTCTAATTTAAAAATGAACATCCATTTCTCATACTGTACATTACAATGACGTAACGCCTACATTCACTGCCATTTAAAATGACTGATTTTAGTTTTTAGTATTTTACTTTATTTAGACAAAATAGTACAGAATTTTAATTTATGGGTTATTGGCAATACAATTTATTTGTATCAGCCAGAATTTTAATATTAGCAACGAACTTCCTCACCTGAGGGGCAGCAGGAACCCATAACGGATGACAACACCGAGACCCCACAGCACTGTCAGACTGGTGCTAATGTGATTGAAGTTATTGTTGCTCCTGGTCAGCAAGTTCCACGACTCAAGCTCCTCTGCCGTGAAACACTTGGTAACCTCATCATCTACGATGCTTTCAATGCCACGGCGGCAAAAGTAGAAGGTGTCCGACATTTCAAACTCTGACGAGGAAGGGGAGGGGCTTGTGGTGGTGGAGGCGGAGCCATCCAACTCTCGGCTGCTGCAGTTCCGCCGAATCTCTTTGAGCTCGTCTTCAAGTGATGTAGGTTCTTTAGCAATAATGCCTGGGATAAAATAATACATACAATATCAACATCCAGAAAATAGAATCCTGAAAAAATGAGATTTTCTTAATTTGCAATTATATCAACAAACACTCTCCTGAAAACTATGTAACAGCAAATGATGTCAGGATGTAAAAAATTACAAAAATATCCTGCAACACCACAAGCAATTCAGCTTGAATGGAGGTGATTGGGACACAAATGTAGTTTGACTGCCATTAGTTGTTGCCTGATCTTTCTGTTGATAGGTCAACTGACAAAAAACTCAGTATGCGTCCCGTGAGATCGACGAGCACTTGGGACACGCCAAAACAAGCAATGTCACTCAGATTAACAAGCAGATGAGCACACAGCAGGAGCAACAGATCATTTTCCCACAGGTGTAACAGTGCACAGTGTTTACACAGCCACTGACACACGTACTATTAAGACTGTAAGGCTTGTACAAAAGATGGTTTTTCTCCTTGGCTCCTCTTTCCATCCTCACTGTGGCCCACTGCGAAAATAAAGAAAAACAACCTCAATTTAATGCAATATTATTACCACTGAAACATTCTAGTATTGTTTTACTATTGTAAGAATCATCTTAATTGAATTGAAAAGATATTATTATTATTAGATAAAAGTATTATCTAAATATTTAAATGTATACAAATGCTAAAATATAATATTTATTTAAATCTAAATACATATTTAACCCTCTGATCACGAATGAAAAATCAATTAACGGTGGAAAATATCAAAAAATATTAAATATTACTGTAATCATAGAGTGCGGCAGTGATGACATATTTTTGCAGACCAACCTGAAAGTTAGCAACACCCTGGTTACCTCTGTTTTTTGGATTAGTGCAGAAAATAAGCTCTGTGACTGACTGAAGTTTATGATTTTTACACGTTTTGTTCAAACCCGAGAGTCCTCACAAATGAACACAACTTATACATTTTGAAGCCTAAATACAGCATAACCAAATAGCTAAACGGTATATATAAACAAAAACAAACTACACATGATTTCAACGTCACCACCATTAAGCTTCCAACAACTTTGTTAGTCTTTTCCCTGAAAGTTTGAGTTTGCAAGAACACGATTAAAAAAAACATTCAAAAAACCCACTGACTTCAGGACAATGGAACTGGAAGTGCTAAAATGCTACGGTCACTTGTTTCCAGGTTTTGGCCTACAAAAATGTCATCCTATGACATATCTAATGCACAGCCAGCCAGTCATTATCGCAAAATAAAACTCATTTACTTCCTCATCATAAATATCATGATTTAAAAACACATTGCGGTGGACTGTGTAGACTGTGTAGACACAAACACACACACACATACATACTGAATGTTCCCTCAGGGAACAACAAGCGCTTTATTGAAAAGCTGAGGGAGGACGAATAATGTCAGTATGTTAATTCAGGCATGTGGAGCACACAATGCACACAATTGACTTGAGAATCAGAAAACACTGAAGGGCTGCTATTGATATCTTGCGAAATTAACACACGTTTTGCTTTAACTTCAATGCCTCAATGTTAGCCTATTAATTTGTCTTATTTCTCTATCTGAACTAAGGTTTCTTCTAATCTGTAATAAGAGTACTTTGAGGTTGAGGACAGAATATAGACACCACACAGTTATTCATAATTTTGTCCCTGGAAGCTCATGGTACAGTAAACATTTACAATCCTGTTGCAATATACAGCTGCAGAGCTGTAGGTTCTACACACAGTCAGAAATAGCACTTTTGTAGCATTTTACTCTTATTCTTATTTGGGATTTAAAACCATTATTATCTATCAAACATCCTCTTTATTGCTTCCCCGTGACTAGGTTGGCTAAGCTGAATGTTGTTTAACACCCAAACAACATGACGTTTAACTAGAATTTCTCCATTTCAAGAAATTCTCCTACTTGTTGTTGGAAAAATACTCGTTTCCAGTTTCAGGCAGCAGGACGAGAGTAGCACGCATGTCTGCTCAGGCAGTGTGAATACACGACCAGTTACATAACAGCTTCAGACGGACGTGAGGTAATGCTGAAATAAATCAGCCACAGCTGGAGAGGAGCAGCCCCTCAGCTCTTCACTCCACCTCCACACCTGTCTCTCCACTCTATGATTTTCATTTGGGGGGGAAACAGTGCCAGTAAAGGAAGCAAATCATGCATTTTCTAGAAACATTAACCAGATGTGCTTAACATGTCCTCCTCGTCCAGATCTCATTTCTTGCACCTGGCCACTTAGTTAAAAAAAGAACTGTATTCATATTTAGATCCCAGTATGTTCTCTGGACCAATAAAAAATGCAAACTAAATAAATGCAAACACAATAATGTAAGAGTATGAATATGCAAAACATGAGTGCATGAGAAGTTCACACTACCAAGCGCACTCAATAAATAAAAAGTATCAAAAAGTACCATGTTAGTACCACAGCTTTTTGGACATGGTGCTGTGATAATACAGTGTTTTTTGGACCTGTATCATGATAGTACCATGATATTATGCACAATGTCATTATCATATCAGTTATCTAATAAATATTAAATATTTAAGTGTTGTTAAATGTTTACATTTAGATTCTGAAACTCACTTAAAGGGTTAGTTCACCCAAAAAGGAAAATTCTGTCATTAATTACTCACCCTCATGTCGTTCTAAACCCATTAGACCTCCGTTCATCTTCGGAACACAAATTAAGATATTTTTGATGGAATCTGAGAGCTGTCTGGCCCTCCCATAGACAGCAAGGTAACTACCACGTTCAAGGTCCAGAAACGTAGCAAGGAGATCGGTAAAATAATCCACGTGACAGGGGTTCAACGTTTTGTGCGCAAAAGAGAAAAAAAAACACTTTATTCAACAATTCGTCAATTTTCTTTTGTGTACAAAATGTATTCTCGTAGCTTCGTACGTAATATTACGGTTGAACCCCTGATGTCACATGGATTATTTTACCGATCTCCTTGCTACGTTTTTGGACCTTGAACGTGGTAGTTACCTTGCTGTCTATGGGAGGGCCAGACAGCTCTCAGATTCCATCAAAAATATCTTAATTTGTGTTCCGAAGATGAACGGAGGTCTAATGGGTTTAGAACGGCATGAGGGTGAGTAATTAATGACAGAATTTTCCTTTTTGGGTGAACTATCCCTTTAAAGTTACAATTTAATAACACTGTTAAATGTAATATTTTGCAAATATCAAAATATATAAATCTTTCCTTCCATACATTACAATGATGCGATGCCTAAATTCATTTATAGTATTTAAAACAACTGATTTAATGTGACTGAACGACTGGTTATTCATCTCTCTCACTCCAAACTTTGTCAACTCTATACAATCCAGAGAACAAATGCAAACCACAAATAAATCAGTATGAACAACAATCCAACAAGATGACCTCCTGACTCACCTCAAACACCTTGAGCAGCGTCTTCATGTAGAGTCTGCGGATACCAAAAGACAGACCGAAAATGGCGGGAACGATGATGAAGACCAAGAGCAGCGTGAACCAGACAGTGAAAGAGATGCCCAACAGCATGCATAGCAGATTATTGAAAGGAGACATAAAAGGGCCCATTTTTACAAAATGAAAATGTGGTTTGTTTTTAGGAAGGAAAGGAAATGGACACCCCAACAGGCAGCTTTCTCAGGCACTTTTAGGGTCAAAGTCTCCAGAGTACGATGTGGAATGCGTCCATAAAGCAGACAGGTGACATTACACAGTCTTTCATTTCCGATGGCTCACGACCTGATGAAGCAAACCCATCCTTCTGCATGTAGCACTGCCCAGAGGTGATTAATTCCGCTTTAATGATTCATATTCTTCAACATTGGCAATTTTGCAACTTCAGATGCCTGTAGGCTCACAGAGCATGACAGCTCTTCACTAAAAACTCTGTAATGGAGAAACCTGGAGAATGTGAAGGAAACACAAACAGGAAGAGGATTACAATTCACTCAAGTACAGGCTTATTCAAATCAAACAGACTGTGACTGAACACACCAAAGTAAATGCAACAGGTTGATCACAAAGCCAAACAAAGTGGCCTGGGACTACACTGGGATCTCAAACAAGGACACGTAAGAGTCAGAGCTCCCACGAGTACAGAGAAGAGAAGAGAAGAGAAGAGAAGAGAAGAGAAGAGAAGAGAAGAGAAGAGAAGAGAAGAGAAGAGAAGAGAAGAGAAGAGAAGAGAAGAGAAGAGAAGAGAAGAGAAGAGAAGAGAAGAGAAGAGAAGAGAAGAGAAGAGAAGAGAAGAGAAGAGAAGAGAAGAGAAGAGAAGAGAAGAGAAGAGAAGAGAAGAGAAGAGAAGAGAAGAGAAGAGAAGAGAAGAGAAGAGAAGGCATACCTATGAGGATGCAACCTAGTCTATGTAGAATATACAGAGTATTCATCTCATATGAATGAATATCATTTTAATATAAAAATAATTCTAAAAATAAGCAATAAATTACAGAGTTCACTTTTAATATAACAATTTTTTTTTTTACTTTTAAGCCTTACACCGTGTCTACACCGGATGCGACAGTTGTTGTGTCGCACCACGTCGCAACAGCTAAAGTCTGTCTACGACGCGACAAAGCAACCGCTGAAAAATCATTTGAAATTTGTGTCAATATGTCATAAATAGAATGCAGCAGCAGTTTTCTGTCGTTGATTTGTCGTGTCGCGCTGTGCCGCATCAAGTGTAGACAGCCTCACTGATTATAATGAGTTCTATCGTATTTTGTCACGCCGCTCGCGTCCAGTGTAGACACGGTGTTTGACTTTCATTGGAGATAAAAAGAGAGAACAGGGCATTAATGGATTAGAGAGACTGTAATATGTCACAGGTCAAATATAAACCTACATTAGCTATGATCACAACAGTTCCAAGAGCACACGAACTCCCCACCGCACCACAGCTCTGACCCAATGCATGCTGCTGAAAAGTTCAAGCAATAATACTGAGCATTTGGGTTTCCATCCATAATTCAATTAATCCCACAATACCCAGTTGAGAACATCTGATTAAACAGAGCTCAGATATCAGGCGCTCTTCCTCATCTCAAATGTGCACACGGGTGGGTGAGGAGTTTCTATTAAAGAATGTGGGTTAAGGCCACTGCCCTGACTGACATTAATCCTACACAAGCTCCATATGGCCCTGAGGGGTGGCAGAATTAGCCTGTATTGTAAGACGCTAAATTCAGACTCGCGTGCCAGAACAGAGTAAGTGTCTCAGGGTGGACCAGTTAGAATGATGTCAAATTATAATGTCAGCCATTCAAAAATAAGAGTTATTTATTTAACACCCTAAATTGCAACTGAATATTACAAGTGCTCCTTTTTTCTGTTTGGTCATATGACATATAGGGGCCCCTGTAAGTATTATAAGGGGTGAGTATTTAATGTACCAACATACCCAACAATAAACATGGACTGTGTCTTTGCTGTATTGTTTTATCCAGTTATTATCTAGTTTGAAAACTCTGTGCAATGTCTCCTACAAAAAAAAAACATCCCTTGGCAGTACCAGAATGTAAATCCATAATAATTCGCTACATACCATGGTATTACTTTGTACGCCAAGGTACTTCAAAGATTACCAATGCATTTCCATGGTACATGTCAAAAAACATAATATTACCATGGTATGTGTCAAAATGCATTTTAGTACTTGTTAGCAGTGGCCTCATTTTAGCATACTTCTCTTCTAATCTTCACATCTGTTCATTCAATAAATAAGGGTTATTTTCTTATTTTACTACACACAATATATTGTTACCATTACCAGCCAAAATGAGATTTTTAAATTTTCTGGTATCAGCTGATATTGGATAGAGTATATCTGCCAATGCTTTGTATTTAATTGTGATGCTCATTTCTCCTATTTTTTACATTATATTAGCTTTACTGTCATCTAACGTTCACTGAAGTAATTAGTGAAATTATTTTAACATTGTTAAATGTAATCTTAGCAAGTTTCTAATTTAAAAATGAACATCCATTTCTCATACTGTACATTACAATGACGTAACGCCTACATTCACTGCCATTTAAAATGACTGATTTTAGTTTTTAGTATTTTACTTTATTTAGACAAAATAGTACAGAATTTTAATTTATGGGTTATTGGCAATACAATTTATTTGTATCAGCCAGAATTTTAATATTAGCAACGAACTTCCTCACCTGAGGGGCAGCAGGAACCCATAACGGATGACAACACCGAGACCCCACAGCACTGTCAGACTGGTGCTAATGTGATTGAAGTTATTGTTGCTCCTGGTCAGCAAGTTCCACGACTCAAGCTCCTCTGCCGTGAAACACTTGGTAACCTCATCATCTACGATGCTTTCAATGCCACGGCGGCAAAAGTAGAAGGTGTCCGACATTTCAAACTCTGACGAGGAAGGGGAGGGGCTTGTGGTGGTGGAGGCGGAGCCATCCAACTCTCGGCTGCTGCAGTTCCGCCGAATCTCTTTGAGCTCGTCTTCAAGTGATGTAGGTTCTTTAGCAATAATGCCTGGGATAAAATAATACATACAATATCAACATCCAGAAAATAGAATCCTGAAAAAATGAGATTTTCTTAATTTGCAATTATATCAACAAACACTCTCCTGAAAACTATGTAACAGCAAATGATGTCAGGATGTAAAAAATTACAAAAATATCCTGCAACACCACAAGCAATTCAGCTTGAATGGAGGTGATTGGGACACAAATGTAGTTTGACTGCCATTAGTTGTTGCCTGATCTTTCTGTTGATAGGTCAACTGACAAAAAACTCAGTATGCGTCCCGTGAGATCGACGAGCACTTGGGACACGCCAAAACAAGCAATGTCACTCAGATTAACAAGCAGATGAGCACACAGCAGGAGCAACAGATCATTTTCCCACAGGTGTAACAGTGCACAGTGTTTACACAGCCACTGACACACGTACTATTAAGACTGTAAGGCTTGTACAAAAGATGGTTTTTCTCCTTGGCTCCTCTTTCCATCCTCACTGTGGCCCACTGCGAAAATAAAGAAAAACAACCTCAATTTAATGCAATATTATTACCACTGAAACATTCTAGTATTGTTTTACTATTGTAAGAATCATCTTAATTGAATTGAAAAGATATTATTATTATTAGATAAAAGTATTATCTAAATATTTAAATGTATACAAATGCTAAAATATAATATTTATTTAAATCTAAATACATATTTAACCCTCTGATCACGAATGAAAAATCAATTAACGGTGGAAAATATCAAAAAATATTAAATATTACTGTAATCATAGAGTGCGGCAGTGATGACATATTTTTGCAGACCAACCTGAAAGTTAGCAACACCCTGGTTACCTCTGTTTTTTGGATTAGTGCAGAAAATAAGCTCTGTGACTGACTGAAGTTTATGATTTTTACACGTTTTGTTCAAACCCGAGAGTCCTCACAAATGAACACAACTTATACATTTTGAAGCCTAAATACAGCATAACCAAATAGCTAAACGGTATATATAAACAAAAACAAACTACACATGATTTCAACGTCACCACCATTAAGCTTCCAACAACTTTGTTAGTCTTTTCCCTGAAAGTTTGAGTTTGCAAGAACACGATTAAAAAAAACATTCAAAAAACCCACTGACTTCAGGACAATGGAACTGGAAGTGCTAAAATGCTACGGTCACTTGTTTCCAGGTTTTGGCCTACAAAAATGTCATCCTATGACATATCTAATGCACAGCCAGCCAGTCATTATCGCAAAATAAAACTCATTTACTTCCTCATCATAAACATCATAAACATCATGATTTAAAAACACATTGCGGTGGACTGTGTAGCACAACCATACACAAACACACACACACATACATACTGAATGTTCCCTCAGGGAACAACAAGCGCTTTATTGAAAAGCTGAGGGAGGACGAATAATGTCAGTATGTTAATTCAGGCATGTGGAGCACACAATGCACACAATTGACTTGAGAATCAGAAAACACTGAAGGGCTGCTATTGATATCTTGCGAAATTAACACACGTTTTGCTTTAACTTCAATGCCTCAATGTTAGCCTATTAATTTGTCTTATTTCTCTATCTGAACTAAGGTTTCTTCTAATCTGTAATAAGAGTACTTTGAGGTTGAGGACAGAATATAGACACCACACAGTTATTCATAATTTTGTCCCTGGAAGCTCATGGTACAGTAAACATTTACAATCCTGTTGCAATGTACAGCTGCAGAGCTGTAGGTTCTACACACAGTCAGAAATAGCACTTTTGTAGCATTTTACTCTTATTCTTATTTGGGATTTAAAACCATTATTATCTATCAAACATCCTCTTTATTGCTTCCCCGTGACTAGGTTGGCTAAGCTGAATGTTGTTTAACACCCAAACAACATGATGTTTAACTAGAATTTCTCCTTCATTTCAAGAAATTCTCCTACTTGTTGTTGGAAAAATACTCGTTTCCAGTTTCAGGCAGCAAGACGAGAGTAGCACGCATGTCTGCTCAGGCAGTGTGAATACACGACCAGTTACATAACAGCTTCAGACGGACGTGAGGTAATGCTGAAATAAATCAGCCACAGCTGGAGAGGAGCAGCCCCTCAGCTCTTCACTCCACCTCCACACCTGTCTCTCCACTCTATGATTTTCATTTGGGGGGGAAACAGTGCCAGTAAAGGAAGCAAATCATGCATTTTCTAGAAACATTAACCAGATGTGCTTAACATGTCCTCCTCGTCCAGATCTCATTTCTTGCACCTGGCCACTTAGTTAAAAAAAGAACTGTATTCATATTTAGATCCCAGTATGTTCTCTGGACCAATAAAAAATGCAAACTAAATAAATGCAAACACAATAATGTAAGAGTATGAATATGCAAAACATGAGTGCATGAGAAGTTCACACTACCAAGCGCACTCAATAAATAAAAAGTATCAAAAAGTACCATGTTAGTACCACAGCTTTTTGGACATGGTGCTGTGATAATACAGTGTTTTTTGGACCTGTATCATGATAGTACCATGATATTATGCACAATGTCATTATCATATCAGTTATCTAATAAATATTAAATATTTAAGTGTTGTTAAATGTTTACATTTAGATTCTGAAACTCACTTAAAGGGTTAGTTCACCCAAAAAGGAAAATTCTGTCATTAATTACTCACCCTCATGTCGTTCTAAACCCATTAGACCTCCGTTCATCTTCGGAACACAAATTAAGATATTTTTGATGGAATCTGAGAGCTGTCTGGCCCTCCCATAGACAGCAAGGTAACTACCACGTTCAAGGTCCAGAAACGTAGCAAGGAGATCGGTAAAATAATCCACGTGACAGGGGTTCAACGTTTTGTGCGCAAAAGAGAAAAAAAAACACTTTATTCAACAATTCGTCAATTTTCTTTTGTGTACAAAATGTATTCTCGTAGCTTCGTACGTAATATTACGGTTGAACCCCTGATGTCACATGGATTATTTTACCGATCTCCTTGCTACGTTTCTGGACCTTGAACGTGGTAGTTACCTTGCTGTCTATGGGAGGGCCAGACAGCTCTCAGATTCCATCAAAAATATCTTAATTTGTGTTCCGAAGATGAACCGAGGTCTAATGGGTTTAGAACGGCATGAGGGTGAGTAATTAATGACAGAATTTTCCTTTTTGGGTGAACTATCCCTTTAAAGTTACAATTTAATAACACTGTTAAATGTAATATTTTGCAAATATCAAAATATATAAATCTTTCCTTCCATACATTACAATGATGCGATGCCTAAATTCATTTATAGTATTTAAAACAACTGATTTAATGTGACTGAACGACTGGTTATTCATCTCTCTCACTCCAAACTTTGTCAACTCTATACAATCCAGAGAACAAATGCAAACCACAAATAAATCAGTATGAACAACAATCCAACAAGATGACCTCCTGACTCACCTCAAACACCTTGAGCAACGTCTTCATGTAGAGTCTGCGGATACCAAAAGACAGACCGAAAATGGCGGGAACGATGATGAAGACCAAGAGCAGCGTGAACCAGACAGTGAAAGAGATGCCCAACAGCATGCATAGCAGATTATTGAAAGGAGACATAAAAGGGCCCATTTTTACAAAATGAAAATGTGGTTTGTTTTTAGGAAGGAAAGGAAATGGACACCCCAACAGGCAGCTTTCTCAGGCACTTTTAGGGTCAAAGTCTCCAGAGTACGATGTGGAATGCGTCCATAAAGCAGACAGGTGACATTACACAGTCTTTCATTTCCGATGGCTCACGACCTGATGAAGCAAACCCATCCTTCTGCATGTAGCACTGCCCAGAGGTGATTAATTCCGCTTTAATGATTCATATTCTTCAACATTGGCAATTTTGCAACTTCAGATGCCTGTAGGCTCACAGAGCATGACAGCTCTTCACTAAAAACTCTGTAATGGAGAAACCTGGAGAATGTGAAGGAAACACAAACAGGAAGAGGATTACAATTCACTCAAGTACAGGCTTATTCAAATCAAACAGACTGTGACTGAACACACCAAAGTAAATGCAACAGGTTGATCACAAAGCCAAACAAAGTGGCCTGGGACTACACTGGGATCTCAAACAAGGACACGTAAGAGTCAGAGCTCCCACGAGTACAGAGAAGAGAAGAGAAGAGAAGAGAAGAGAAGAGAAGAGAAGAGAAGTTTTACTCAAAGTACCCAGCCACAATTATACATACAATAAAAAAAAACTTTGTTTTTATTAACTAAAACTATACAATACTGTTTTCAGTGATTGAAATAAAGCTAAAATAAAACAAAACATTAATAAAAAATTTAAGTACATAAATTACTAGAACTTATACTCAAATTAAAATAAAATGAGTATATACTGCCATTCAAAAGTTTGGGATCAGTAAGATTAGTAATGTTTTTTAAAGAGGTCTCTTCTGTTCATCAAGGCTGCATTTATTTGATCAGAAATACAGAAAAAAAACAGTAATATTGTGAAATATTATTACAATTTAAAATGTTTTTAATATACTTTAAAATATAATTTATTTCTGTGATGCAAACCTGAAGTTTCATCAAACACGTGTTTTATTTAGTCTCCAGTGTCACATGATCCTTCAGAAATCATTCTAATATGCTGATTTATTATCAATGTTGGATACAGTTGTGCTGCTTAACATTTTTTGGGAACCTGTGATTCTTCAACGAATAAAAAAAGTTAAAAAGAACAACATTTAATCAAAATAGAAATCTTTTGTAACAAAGATTACAAAACCGATCAAAACCTTGGGCTCAGTCATTTTTTTATGCTTTTATTCAGCAAGGACGTGCTAAATTAATAAAAAGTGATAATAAAGACTTATATTGTTAGAAAAGATTTCTATTTTAAATAAACACTGTTCTTTTTAACTTTATTCATTAAATAATACTAAAAAAAGTATCACGGGTTCCAAAAAAAAAAGTGTAAATAATACTAAAATAACACTGTCTGAAATTGACCAAAGAAACTTGAGGTACAGTTCAGATTTTCACTGAAGTAAATTTGAAGCACTAAATTATGTGAAGTAACCTACTTAATCAGTAATCACTATTTCATCACTAAGTTCCGACCTTAGTAATGATCTCGTTAAAGGAGGCATGCAGCTGAGAAACAGTTTTACTCTGCTATCCCGGTAAATCACATGTCATCATTTAGCTGGGAACATTTTGGAATTAAATGGATTAAAAGGATTTGCTTTAGGTTAACAGAAAGTGAATGACAACTCAATTTTACATTAAAACGCATTGCATTGTCTGTTCTAAGTAAAAAAAAATAAGTAAAATTTATTTAATTTCGAGGTTTAAATAACATTTTAAGGAGAAAAAAAACTTTCTTTAAAAAGGTAACTTAGTTGAAAAGTAATGTTTCAACAGCACTTGACTACAATTATCCCAAATACTTCATTAGCAGCAGCAGCAGCAGCAGTAGTAGTAATGAAGTACAATTACTCCAGTACTCACACGCCAGCTTACACAGCCTGCTGTATCGCTGTTCGAAGAAACCCTGCTCGATCCACTACATGACTTTCTAACTAAGCAGGTAATCTGTGCCAGCTATAGCTTTCAGCTAGTTGGTTGATGAACAGGCAGAGCAGAGCAGAGCAGAGCAGAGCAGCGGATCGGATGACTGTCTTCGCGGATCATCTTACACAGACCGCGCATCGCGTGTGCGGCATCGACAGAAGCATTTCCTCGGCGCGTTATGGAGCTGAGCCGCTTCGATCTCAAGCCGAGGGCGCGTCCGCATCGCGCTCACCGACACCGGCGGAACAGACCGTCACGGAAAGGGACGCGAGAGCGAAGATCCGCATGTCGTGAGTGACGCACAGACTGACGCGCGTCTGCGAGCAGCACCACAGCACGGGAGTGACACACAGACGGAGTCTTCCGCCAGGGGGCGCGGCGAGGCTCAGGAAAAACCCATTGCGACACATTCAAATCTCAGGACGTTTTCTTGTTTTTATTTATTTATTCATTTTTTGTCTCACTGGAGGAATTTGTACTCTAAAGGATTGGTATAAATCGTACAATTTCGCTCTAGAAATGGCTCAAATATATCTAGTAAAATAACGTCAGCTAGTAATCACAGACGAATGTGATTGGTTAATCCTGAGAAGCGCGGAGTAAAGTAACAGGTTTCATGTGCTCACGAGATCAACGCGCTGCTTCCGCTACAGGTTGAATAATAATTCACATCTTTACAACCAAACTGAGAAGCTCAAATGGGATTTAACTGAACAAAAGACAGTGGGACAAACTAAATATAAGAATTATTATATATCTGACCAATTAGAGACAACTTTCGAGTTTCTAACCCTATCATTTCCTTTTTCTCATGACCAGTCTCAGCGAGTTCTAGTGACCAACTACTAAATCATCTGTACGAAGCCTTTTTTGTCGAGATACAGAAAAAAAAACTAAAAAGCTAAAATAACTGTTATTTCAAACAGCAGAACTTACACTAAGAATCCACCAGGTGGAGATGCAGGACTGTATGCAATGTCAATGGCACAAAAATATAATATATATATAATTGATTTTATTATTATTATTATTGCCTGTTGTAATTGCCCCAGAAACAATAATACTGCACAAAAAGCTAACCGTTAAATGTCACTCAATGAATATTGTTGTCAGTGGCTTTTGAGAATACCTTCAAATTCACTGTAATCACCAGTAAAAGCCATATACAGTGGGTACGGAAAGTATTCAGACCCCCTTAAATTTTTCACTCTTTGTTATATTGCAGCCATTTGCTAAAATCATTTAAGTTAATTTTTTTTCCCCATTAATGTACACACAGCACCCCATATTGACAGAAAAACACAGAATTGTTGACATTTTTGCAGATTTATTAAAAAAGAAAAACTGAAATATCACAATATGGTTATGTGTGTTGTTTTGAGGATTTCAGAAGTTTATTGCGCATACATAACCAGTTTCATAATGTTTGGAATTAGCCACCTCCTAATGAACTACAACACATATCTGCATTGTGTGATGTTTGTAAACAAAAGTGCATTAATATGAGCAGATGAAAAGCACTAAAAGCAAACAATTATGAAATAAATTATGATATAAAAACACAAAAACCATAAAACTTCCATTACAAACAAACAGACATACAACAAAAGACATACCCAGAGAAGGAGCTGAATAAACCCTGACGTCAATCTTTGATGGGGACAGTAGACTCAGCGGGACTTCTGACCCCACTACATGAAGGCTACACCGGAGAACAGAGCCTGACCAGACCAAGGTTTCTCTTATGTGACACTGTTGACTTTTAAATGTGGAAGAATAAGACAAAAATGTTTAATTATCCATGCGCATCTGATCTGAGAACAGTGTGGCTCTCTGTGACAGAACTGTTTTATAGGTTACTGGTTGTGAGAGCTTTTCTGAAACCAGTTTCATGGATTTTAGGTGATAAGGAAACTCTTCTAGGCTGCATACAGAGGAAAAAGAGAGGCGGCCTATAGGACAGAAAGTGTGCTGTGATTGGCCACTGTGCATTGAAAAATGATGGACATACCTGAACTGAACATTACTGACCACACAGAGTAACTCACAGATCTCCATTGCACATCAGCCAAACAGGTAAGGACAAAATCATCCTTTTATATTTCACATATATAATGCTAACAGTTTACAAAAAGGTTAATTTTGGCGACATTAGTTAATACATTCGACATAATGCACTAATAATAAACTATACATTTACATTCATCACTCTATGTTAATGTTAATTTCTATACATGTTTAACATTTTAGTTGTATAACTTAACATTAATGTATAATAAACAAACATGAATTATCAATGAACAATATATTTATAAATAACAGATACCAACTGTCTCTTGCTGCCACACAAGACCTGATTGTGAAGTTGGGTAACTGAAACAGTAAGTTGCAGTTATATTCTAAAATAAGAACTGTATGACCTTTGATTCTTGAAAATATGTAACGAATATTATTCAATTATTATTACGAAAATTGTTCTTGACTTAAAATGTTCTAGTAAAAATGTATCTCTTCCTGAAACTTAGTATTATTCCAACCATTAAAACTACTCAGTAATATTAAGAAGTAATAAATGCTTTCTTATTTGAAATACAGTGAATTATTTTATTTTATTATTTTATTTCTAGAGTTACAGTTACCTCTAACCGGTTACTCCTGTAATGGGGGCAACTCTAACACTCTAGTAAATTTAATATAATCATCTGTCCTTTCTTAATGTAAATTATCTTTCTGATAAGAAGGTAGATTTGTAGTATGTGTTGCTGATGAAAGAAACGAATTCCCCTCTATTTAGTTTTTAAAAGATGAAATATTTATTCAAACAAGAATTATAGATTACAGCATAAAATGTCATGACAATATTTGTATTCTTTTTTTTTATTATTATTATAGGTGTGTCCCAATTTGTGTATTTATGCACTATTCTGTGCCATTTTGTAGTATAAAGTATATAGTGAGTGTAGTATGTTAATACTGAAAATTCCAACTTCACTTCACAAAAACCCAGATGATGCACTTATTTAACTGAAAACAAAAGTGTGGAACGCTGGACAGAAAGACTATCAGGGCTATCAGACTCTGATGCTGGATCACTTTTCAAAACTTCATACACACTAGACGTTAGAGTACAATGTGCATAGTATATGTGTATAGTTCATCATTTGGGTCACAACTTATGTCTCACAATTGTTTAAAATGGTATTAATTTACTATTAAATAGATATATGTTCTAAAAATGAAAACTCTGTCATCATGTCATTCTTTCTTCTGTGGAGCATAAAAGAAATCATTTTGAGAAATGTCTCAGTGTTACAGTATTTGCCCAAGTCAATGGGTATCGGTCTGGTTACCAACATTCTTCCAAATAATTATCCTCTTTTGTGTTCTGCAGAAGAAAAAAAGTCAAACAGGTTTGGATCGACATGAGGGGGAGTAAATTATGGCAGAATTTTCATTTTTGAGTGAACTATTTCTAACTTTTCTTTCTTTGTAGAGTTGATCAGCATGATCAATCACAATGTGGATCCTTTAGAAAGTGCAGGCGGGAGCAGAAAGTCTCCCGGTGCAGATCAATCACCTCATCAGCAAAAATAAAAGAGGAGATTTCGGCCAAGACCAGCATCTTCAATAAACTGCACAGCAATGTCCTCACAACTGAAAAAATTCCTGAATTTTTCCTGCCTCCCAAACAGACCAAGCGCTGCCTCATGGCAGACGCTGAAAAAATCTCACAGTGTCTGAACGAAGAAAAAAAAAAAGCTTCCAGCTTTGCAAAAACATCACTGTCAAGACCTGGTGCTGCCCATCCACTGAGAGCGAGTCTAAACAAACCTACAGCGGCTTTAAACAAACTCAAACCCATCCCATATTCACTGAAATGCTACGAGTCCGGTTTATTGCTACGAGTCTTTGTTCATTCACTAGAGCGAATGACCATCAAAACACCCAAACTGTCCTGTAGAGCAGTGCTGAAGACGGCCAGCACTGAGAGTGATACGCCCTCTGCTGACTCCTCCCCTTATTCAACACCTCCACCAATCAGAAGAGAGGATTTCACAGATTTCACCGTCAATCTCTGAAGAGTTCATGCCTCTAGAGCCGAGAAAAAGAAAGTTATTCAAACATCCCATTGCACCAAACTAGCCCCGCCCATCCAGTTCCCCCTGGACATGCTGCACTGCTAGGAACGCTTCCATCAGGAGCATGTGCTTCCTCTTCCTCAGAGAAGGCTGGGTGCATGTCTCTGCCTTCAGGACCCAGTGCTCTATCACAGTTCGCATCCGTGTGACCTCTGTGGAAGGCTTGAGAGATCCCAGCGACCTTCGACCTCTGACCTGCAGCTTGACCCTAAGCCTCAGCCCAGGCAAGCTGCAGCGGCAACACAGTGCCATCATCAGGAACTGCCATAACCCCGTGTTCAATGAAGATTTCTTCTTCCAGGAGCCCGAGGAGCAGCAGGGCAGTCTGGGAGGTCTGGCTCTCAGACTGAAGGTGCTGGGCTGAGGAGTAGTGCTGGGAATCGTCATCAAACCTCTGTCAGCTACTGCCTCTGTGACGTGTTCACATGCAAAACTTTGGATTTCTCCGGAGAAACTTTGTTTCCTCAAAAGTTTTGCATTACCCCAAGAAACTTTTCATTTACTTGCAAAATATTTGCATTCTCCCGAAAAACATTGTGTGTGCTCGGAAGTTTAGCATTACCCTAAGAAACGTTTGCATCCCCCTGAAAAACGTTGTTCCCTCGCAAATTTTGTCTTATGAGAAAACTCTGCATACATTTGCAAAACGTTTGCATTCTCCCCAGAAACTCTACATTCGCTCGCATTACTTATGACACAAAAACAGCAAACACAGTCATTAAAATGTCATTTTTTTCTCATATTTTTTCCTTGACCATGTGCACTTAGGGGCTCCAGTTCTGCTCAGTTTTACCTTTATTTTTACAATGCTAGGAATCTATGCACTTGCTAGTATGATTTGAGCTGTGTGTTTTACCATAATCAAAATGTATATAATGTCAACATAAAACTATACATCCATAAATTAAAAAAAAATTTGATGATTTTTTGAATTGCCTAAAGAAAGTTCCTGCTCTGTTACACAGATCATGATGCTTGTGCTGTTTTTAATAGTGTTGTGAGTATTTACTGTACGTGTCATTTATGAAACTTTTAAATAAACATATTATAATAGTGTAAATCACTGGATGTGGATTTAACAGATAACAAGAAAACAAGATTCATAAAAGTACAGAAATATAGAATTCCAGAGGCAAATTTTAATAGAGAATGTCTGTTTTGATTTTTTTTTTATGTAATAATTGTTTATAAAAAATGTGTATATTTTCATCTGATTAATGAAAATCTAATCACAAGTGATTT